CTTCCCTTTTCTCTCCGGCCAAAAGAAGGAAGGGGGAGGCCGAATTGGACTAGGGATCCCAAGTAGGATTCCTGCTACTTGGGCGCCCCAAGGCTTCTCCCCTCCCCCTCCCACCTATATATACATTGGGAGGGGGCGCCTAGAACACACACCAACGATTGTTAGCTGTGTGCGGCGCCCCCCTCCACAGTTTACGCCTCCGGTCATATTCTCGTAGTGCTTAGACGAAGCCCTGCGCGGATAACTTCACCATCACCATCACCACGCCGTCGTCCTGACGGAACTCATCTACTTCCTTGACACTCTGCTGGATCAAGAGTTCGAGGGACGTCGTCGACCTGAACGTGTGCAAAATTCGGAGGTGTCGTACGTTTGGTGCTTGATCCGTTGGAACGAGAAGAAGTTCGACTATATCAACCATGTTGGCAAACGCTTCCGCTTTCGGTCTACGAGGGTACGTGGACACACTCTCCCCCTCTCGTTTCTATGCATCTCCTATATAGATCTTGCGTGAGCGTAGAATTTTTTTAAAATTGCATGTTGCATTTCCCAACAAAGACCACAAAGGATAATAGGTGCGTCTGCGCCTGCTCGCCCTGGCCCTCTTGTTTCGCTTTCCCTCAATATAATTTAATTTCAAGTTCCATGGGAATAATTTACACAAAAGTCTACTTGGTGTAACTTTGTAGTATGATGTATTCGACCAAGGTATGGATATATTTTCCACCAATAATAATCAACACAGTGATTCGGATGTTGCATAGTTTCCCGTGCGAAACATTATGTATAATCATAGTGAACATGAGTGATTTGAATGTTGTACATGTTCTGATAAGAAACACCATGTGTAATGTTGACGTTACACGAGTACCTGCCCCAACAAACACACACGCACATATAGCTCATGTTGAACAATAAAGTCCTATGAGCTTGAACATCAACAAAACCATCATAGGCGCCTCGTAATTAGCGGTTCCGGATGCTTTGCCTATCTATCGAGAAACACGATGGACGAAGATAGTGAACCGATGGTGATTAACGACACCTTGTCGAACTCGACTAGTAATTGCGAGTACATAATAAAAAAGTAAAGAGCCTAGGGATCGATTGAAAACAACAACGAAGTCAATCCATAAAGAAGTGAAAGGTTTCTTCAGCTACTAGGCAAGATCCAGAGCAGAGTCCTGCTCAACAAGTCAGCAACACTAATGGTGAGACATGTGGTCAGACAAAGTATGCAAGGGTGCTAAAGTCGTGTTGATGAGTACCGGATTCAAGTTGGTGACAGGGTCTATCAGGGCTAGTTGATGGACATGAGTTGACCATGAAGAATCTATGAAAGTGGTGGGAAGTCTTAATGTCAAAAGCGGAGAGAGTACATCGCCGTATATTTTGTGGTGCTCAATGCACATGGAAAAGTGTGGATGACAAGTACAGAAGGAGGTGGGGTGCTATAACGGTGGGACGTGTCAGAGACTACCCGGAAAGAAGGATGAGAGAACTACAAATTCGACTCGGGTTGACATAGAGCGACGGTGAAATTCCTTCAAGTTTCAAACAAGTGGTCAAGGAGAGCAATGGCGTTGAGTTCGGGTAACTCTTATATGTGGCATCCAACACTCTCATGCGAACAATAGTCGGTATGCGATTGTGTTGAATGAATACTCCAGAAGTTGGGAGCACAAAGTAGAGTAAAGAGAAACTTATTTTTGCTCGAGTGTTAACTGTGAAGACGAGAAGGGAGAACAGTTGCAAGTAGTCACGTAGAGTCTGGGAATAGCAGCGGTGCTCATGACATATCTCATCCAATATACATGGAGGTTCGACGCATGGATGAATCCAAGATGGTAAGGAATATTCGCCGAGGTGGAGTTTGCTAGAATTGTGTCGAATATTATTGTACAAGTTAGGTTACAATTGGACTCTAAGTCATACGGTGTGTAGATAGGATATGAAATCATTTCCTAATAGGATACTTGTGTCCTAGGCCTCTTATATATGTAGAGGTAGACACATAATTTAACATATGCCAACATAATAGTATAGGCACGCGAGGGAACCGGCAGCGTGTGCCGGTGCCCGGACGGCCAGAGTGCGGTATTATGATTGTGTCATGGGGAGGAGCGCCCGTAGTCACGCCGCGGGGATGTAGGCATATCAGTGTACTCGTTAACAAATCTCGGTGTCGTGCTTGTGTGATTGCTTGGTCTTCGGTAGATCGACTATGCGCCTCGAAATAATTCTAACAATGTCAACATGATTTTTTTTTCACTAGAACACTGAGTACTTCTGCTAAACCAGTGTATTAGCTTTGTATTTCATTGATTTGGCCCTCCCAAGCTAGTTTAGCAGCACTTGGCCCTCGCCGTTCAGTTTTCCTGGCTCCGCCACTGAAGGCGGAAAGTTGAACTTGAAATCTGACGATAAATGAGTAAAAAGCTGTATTATCAAAAGAATGTGTTCCGTTGGGGTTTTTTTACTACAAATGAGCTGCCGACTTCAAGTTTTCCAGCCACGTTTGTACTGATCAAACATGCTACATGAATTCATTATATATCACGTGTAAATCCTTTCAGAAAAAAATCACATCGAAGACACAAGACTGAAACTGACACATTCACAAAGGTTAAGACGGAAAGGGACACAATCACAGGAAGTATGGCATGACTCCAGAAAAATATCTTAAAAGACACTTATTAATTGACAGATCTTAAGCAACTGTGTTGTGCCGACATACCGTTGTGCATACATACAGCTGAGTGGACAAGTGGCGACCAAGACATACCCTGATACCCTTGCTACAAAAATATCTCATATAATGCCAACATACTTGGAAAGCGATGTATTCTCTTCAATATCAACCTCGGCAGTGGGGCAAATGGCCTATAAAAAGAAAGAACACACGTCTCTCCACAACAAGCACAAGAAAAGAAGAACACAAATTAGTAGGTACCAGTACTCCATCGACTTCAAAGATGTCTGGCTGGTTTCAAGAGAAGTCCGGGGAGGTGGTGGACGTGACCCAAGTTAAGGCCGGCGAGGCCAAGAAGATGGCGTCCGAGACGGGGCAATCCATCCAGGACCGTGCCGTCGAGGCAAAAGACCAGACCGGCAGCTTCCTTGGCGAGAAGAGCGCGGCTGTCACGAAGGCTGCCTCCGAGACTACTGAGGCGGCCAAAAAGATGGGTGGCGAGGCCATGGGGAAGGCGTCCGAGACAGTGGAAGCCGGGAAGGATCGCGCCGTCGAGGGCAAAGACCAGACGGGCGGCTTCCTCAGCGAGAAGACTGAGGCTGTCAAGAAGACGGCCACCGAGACCACCGACGCCGCCAAGGAGAAGTCTACCGAGGCCGCGCAGTATGTCCAAGACACCGCTGCACAGTACACCAAGGATCCCCCGGTCGCCCCCAAGGAAAACGTCTTCCAGCAGGTGAATCAATCACTTGCAAACTATTCAGAGACAACACAAAATCAACCATGTGGATGAATATATTGTGTTGCCATTTGAGCTGTTGATGCTGAATTTTTTTGATATGGATGTTTGTTTGTTTGTTTGTTTTCAGGCTGGCGGGAATATGATGGGTGCCGCGACGGGTGCCAAGGATGCTGTGATGAACACACTCGGGATGGGAGGAGACAAATAAGATGCGGGTAGCGGCACCAAGAAGATCATAAACGATAATTAGACGCGCCTGCTTACCCTCGCCCTCCTTTCGTTTTGTTATTCCCCCAATATAAATTAAATTTCAGTTTCAAGAGACTGATTTATACACACTCCTTGGTGTAACTTTGTTTGATGTATGCGACCGAGGTATGAATATATTTTTCACAAAATCATAATCAACTTGAGTGATTTGGATGTTGTACATTTTCTCATAAGAAACATCATGTGTAATGTTGACGTCCACACGTAAGTGCCCCAACACACAGGAACACACGTAGAGCTTGCACTGTACATTAAAGTCCTCTGAGTTTTAAAGATCGACAAAATCACCATAGGTGCCTCGTTATTGATGGATACTTCTCCAATCTGATCAGGGAACATGGTTGACAAAGATAATGAATGAATGGTGATTGACGACACCTTGTCGAACTCGACTAGTAATTGCGACTTTGCAAGTACATAAATAAATAAAGAGCCTAGTGATCAATCGAAAACAACAACGAAGTTGGTACATAAATAAATAAAGAAATGAAAGGTTGCTTCAGCCAGGAAAGATTCAGAGAAGAATCCTGCTCAACAAATCAGCAGCATGGACCTTTTGTGGTTCATCGCAAGGCTGCATTCGTGTGTATCTTATTAGGAAAACTATTCGGTGTGTTGATCGTCCAGATGGTGAACGTCGCTGAACATCCATGATAGATATTGAGTGTAAACTTACTGACGCCACACAAGCGGTTGTAGCTAGCTGTAAATTAATTGACAGACACCCCACAAGTGGTTCTAGCTAGCAGTAAATTAACTGACGGGCGCCACACAAGCAGCACCGGCAGATATTTCCGATGCCCCTCCACTGAGGTCGCAGCAGACACGTGATTCATCGCCGGCACATCAGCGTCGATCCAGTAAATAGTTAAGCCCCTCTTTTGGCTGTTCACTCTTGGCAAAACCACACAGTATTGATGGACAGATTCAAGGCAGTGGGGTCGTGCCGACATGCCGCTAGGCATCAATGCTGGACAAGTGGTCGACAAGGATATGTCCTTGCAAGGAGAAAAAAAATCTGATGCCATGAGAGCGATCCATACCATCTTCACCATGGCCTTCGGCAATGGTGCCAAGGGCGTCTATATAAAGGAAGAGAGCACGGGTATCTCTCTCCACAAGAAGCAAGTGAAAAGAAGAAACAACACAACAAACCACCACGTACGTACTACGCTTTATCACCTTCAAAAATGTCGGGTTGGTTCGGGGGGAAGACGGACGCCAAGGCCGACGAGGCCGCCAAGACGGGGCCGTCCGTCCAGGACCGCGCCATCGAGGCCAAAGACCAGACCATCAGCTTCATCGGCGAGAAAAGCGAGGCCGTCACCAAGGCGGCCTCTGACACCGCCGAGGCGGCCATGAAGATGGGCGGCGACGCCATGGGGAAGGCCTCCGAGACGGGGCAGGCCATCACGGACCGCGCCATCGAGAGCAAGGACCAGACGTTCGGCTTCTTCGGCGAGAAGACCGAGGCCGCCAAGAAGATGGCCGCCGACACCGGCGACGCCGCCAAGCAGAAGTCCGCCGAGGCCGCGAAGTGCGTCGAGGAGACCGCGGCGAAGTTCACCGGGGAACCCGTCGCCCCCAAGGAGCCCACCGGCAACATGTTCCAGCAGGTGAGTCAGTCGCTTGCAAACTAGTCATACAACACAAAGTTTAACCATGTCGAGGACTATTCTTTAGTTTCAAGAAAAAAAAGGACGATATTCTTTGGCCATTTGAGCAGTTCATGCTAAGTTTCTCAAGACTTATGTCTTGCTGCTTCCATGCAGGCCGGCGGGCAGGTGATGGGTGCCGCTACGGGCGCCAAGGACGCCGTCATGAACACGCTCGGGATGGGAGGAGACAAAGCCGACGCCGGCACCGCCAAATGAAGACCGCGAAGGATCATAGCCCTCTTTTCGTTTCGTTATTCCCTCCGTGTTGCTTTATTTTCGGTTCCAAGAAACTGATTTCTACGCATGCGTCGGTGTAACTTCGTCCAGTGTATGCAAAGATGCTTTGAATATACAGATTTGCTAATTCTCATCTGATGAATATATTCTTCACATATCATATTTTCTTTTTCAAACCATTCATGAGGCCAGCATGTCAGCTTAATGGGTGTGTCTAGCTCTTAGTTGACTGAGATTTAATCAAGACTGAGTCAAGTGATATAACATGTAAGACAGAAAGAAAAAACCAAAAAAAAAAAATTGCCCGAATCTCAATGCAAGATCTTACAAATATAGCATCGATTGAGACATATCTAAGTCTCAGTCGACTGGGATTTAGCACAACTTTAGTATCTGTTAATACAAGAAGAGAACGTGCGAAATCTCTAATAGATTTTTTTTTCTTGCGGGGAAAGTCTCTGAGAGATATCTATAGAGATACTGAGCTCCCTCAAATTGAAGTGCTCTGGTGCTTCGAGGGTTGTGGGGGTCACTAAGGCCCCACGCATAAGTGTGTGTTGTTTAGTTTTATTTCTTCTTCTCTTTCTTTTCATGTTTTAATTCATGACCACTTATCAAAATTTGTGTACTTTTAAAAAATAAAAACATATTTTAAAATTCTTGAAATTCATTAATATTGATTAAATTTGCCTCGAATTGAAGCGCTCTTGCTTCCAGGGTTGTGGGGCTAGGGCCCCACGCGTAAGTGTGTGTTGTTTAGTTTTATTTGTTATTCTTTTTTATTTTTTTATTTTTAATATTTTAATTCGTGAGCACATATTAAAATTTGTGTACTTTAAAAGATAAAACATATTTAAAAATTCTTCAAATTCGTTAATATTGATTAAATTTGTGATTATTTTTAAAGTTCATGGTCATTTAAATGTTGTGAACAGTTTTTAAATTTCAATTTATTTTTTATTTTTTGAACATATTTTAAATTCATGATTGTTTCTAAAATTCATGGCTATTTTGAAGTTCTTAAACACCATTTAATTTAACTAACCTTTTCAAATAAAAAAATATAGGCGAGTTTTTCTGAGCTAGCAATGGGGTGAGCAAAAAAACACAAGCGAGAGGAGCAGGGAGCTGAGCTGAGCAAGCAAGAGCTTCGTGTGTTGACCCATGTGAGCGTCACATTAGGAATTTCATGGGTTTAGCATGAAATAAGAACTCCCAAGAGACTTAAGCAATCACCACGGACTGACAACAAGGCCAAAATGTGCAAGGACTTCGCAGCCACACATCAAATAGCTCCTCTCTTCTCTTGAAAAAAAAATATTCCAACAGCAACCCAACACGATATACGAACAAAAAACACCTCCAATAAAAAATAAAAACATAAAAGCCAACACAACTAAAATTAAAACAAAACAAGGCCCCACGCGTAAGTGTGTGTTGTTTAGTTTTATTTGTTCTTCTTTTTTTATTTTTTTATTTTTAATGTTTTAATTCATGTGCACTTATTAAAATTTGTGTACTTTAACAAATAAAAACATATTTGAAAATTCTTCAAATTCATTAATATTGATTAAATTTGTGGGCATTTTAAATGTTCACGGTCATCTAAATGTCGTGAGAAGTTTTTAAAGTTCAAATTATTTTTTATTTTGTGAACATATTTTAAATTCATGAATGTTTCTAAAATTCATGGCTATTTTAAAGTTCTTAAACACCATTTAATTTAACTAACCTTTTCAAATAAAAAAAGATAGGAGAGTTTTTTTGAGCTAGCAATGGGGTGAGCAAGAAAAAAACAAGCAAGAAGAGCATGGAGCTAAGCTGAGCAAGCAAAGAGCTTCGTGTGCTGACCTATGTGAGCGTCACATTAGAAATTCCATGGGTTTAGCGTGAAATAAAAACTCCCAAGAGGCTCAAACAATCGCCACGAACTTACAACAAGGCCAAAATGTGCAAGGACTTCGCAACCACACATCAAATAGTTACACTCTTCTCTTGAAAAAAATATTCCAACAGCAACCCAACACGATATACGAACAAAAATCACCTCCAATAAAAAATAAAAACATAAAAGCCAACACAAATAAAATCAAAACAAAACAATTGATCACAATAATTTATAGATTTAAAAAGTTGATTTCACGAGCAAAAAACGGCGCGGCCAAGCGCACGTTAACCTCTAGTAGAATGAATAAAGGACCAACTACAGCGCAATGACCCGCCCGGATAGTAGACGGCGTAAAGAAGTAGGCTTTCGGGGGTTGGGTGCGACATATGCCAACGGATGGCTTATCATGGTGGGAGCGAGTAAAACGTCGCCGGTGCCTGGAAGCGGGATAAAGCATAGACACGTACGCCGGCGAACTTTACCCAGATTGGGGGCTCTCCGTGGAGATAATACCCCTACTCCTGCTCTGCGGGGTCTCCGCATGATCACTAAGGCACTAGTGATACAAGGTGCTCCTTGAGCTGTGTCTAGAGGTAGGAGAAGGCAAGGCTAGCTCTTCCCTGCCCTAGGTAACTGGCTAGTTTTATCAGAGTGGGAAACCTTTGCATGGGTGCCCTGGGGGGTTTATATAGGCCTACCCCCCAGGGGTACAACGGTAATCTGGTCGGGTGCTGGGCCCAGCTATCAGTGTCTCCGGCCTCCGGCTTCTCCGCCGACCATTGGGGCCCGCCGCCTGGTAGACCCCGACGACTAGTTGACGGCTGCTTACTGTAGCCGTGCCGCCAGTGACGAGGGCTTGGTCATCTCATCGTGGCTACAGTCCCGCCTCCTTGTGGGAGATCACTGTAGCCACACCTGGTCTCATCGGCTTAATGGCATGCTTGCCTCGGGGCAAGGGACGGCCGCCTGCTGAAGGCCGGCCCTCCCCGAGTCCGACTGGTTGGGCTTCCGCCGTCTTCCATGGCGTCACTGTCCGGTAGGGCCCGCCGCCGGCAGGCCGTACCGACAGGTCGTCGTGGGGAACAGGGCTCCGCCTGCCCGGAGCGACGTTAGGGGGGACATGGCATAATGCCACGCTGTGCGGAGATCTCCGCCTGTACGGGGCACTATAGCCATGCTAATCCCGGGATTATGGGGCGACGGGCTTCACTGTAGCCACGCTCTATCTTGTACTCTTGATGGGGGGCCCAGACTCTGAGGGCGTTGGGTGGCCGCCCTCTCTGGGAGCTGGTATACTGGAGCCGGCCGCTCCTAGTGTCGTTCTCTGGTGTTTGGCCGTCCTCCGGTGGCCGGCCTCTGAGCCAGCCGGCCCCCGGAGGGCGGAGCTTCTAGCTGGGGCCGTTGCGGGACGAAGCCGGCCCAAACTTTTGATGTTCCAAGGGACTCGGGTGAGGCTACCCGTGGCCCGTTACTCCGATAGTAGTCCCCGAAGCCGGTGAGGCGTTGTGGTCGTGGGGCCGCGAAGTCTCAGCGGCTTCCTCCCTCACCGAGCTCCAGGAGAGTGTTTTGATCCGTCTTGCGGTGCGCCGGCCTCCAAGGCTGGCTTTGACAAGGCGGAGCTCGTTGGCCAATTTTTGAACTTCAAGGCGGGAGAACAGGTGGCGTGCCTGCTAAGCTTCCCCAGGCCGCCGCTCGTCGTGGGAACGCCACGCGGCGCTCGCCAGCCCGGCCAGCCTTCCACCCCACGCGCCTGATGGGACGTGACAGTGGGTCGGGCCCGCCACTACCGGGCCTCGGCACGCGGGCGGATCCGTTGTGCCGAGGCGGGCGGTTGCGATTCCCGCGAGCATTCACGACGGAGTAAATTCGTGTGGCGAACGTGGGGTCGTGGGGTCATGGGCGCAGTTAATCCCACGACCCACGCCCCATCCCCTCGGCTTCATAGCCCAAGGGCTATAAGTAGGGGGAGGGAGGGGTGCGGCGGGGCACGCGCGCCCCCTCCACACTTTCTTCCTCCTCTCGCACTCCCCGCTACTGCTGCTGTCGCTGCTTCTTGCTTGCCGTGGTGCTACCGCTGCCGCCGCCGCTGCGCTCTCGCCCCTCCCGCAGCTCCACTCGTAACCATGGCGCGTGAGAAGGGCGGCGACTGGGACGGCTCGACAGTCATCGAGGACCACATCACCTTCATCTGGGACACGCGCCGGATGCCCAACGCGGCATTTTTCAAGGCGCGGGTGCCGCTGGAGATGGAGATCTCGCCGGCGCCGAGGGGAAACGAGCGGGTCGTATTCCACTCGCAGTTCCTCCGCGGCTTCGGCCTTCCGGTGAGCGACTTCCACCGCTCATTCCTTGACTTCAACCATCTCCAACCTCACCACCTGACACCCAATTCCGTGACTTTGCTCTCCGCCTTGGTCACGGCGTGAGAGGGCTACATCGGCATCCTCCCCATGATTGAGCTGTGGGGAGCGTTCTTCTACGGGAAGCTAGGCACCTCCGCCAAGGACACGGCGGCCGAGTGCGGCGGCTACGTCACCGTGCGCCGGCCGGCAAAGAGGAACGCCTTCCTCGTCATCAAGCTGGCCCAGTCTATGAAGATGTGGCGGCAGTCCTATTTCTATGTCGAGAACGTAGATCCGGCTGCCGACTTCCTCAACCTGCCGGCCTACGAGGCCGGCCCCCCTACCGGGCTTCAGCCCAACTGGGGGTACAAGCCGAAGCCGGTGCCGGTGGCCGCCATCGTCTGACTCCGAATACTCCAGGATTCGGAGGGCCTCGTGGCCTCTGACCTCCTTGTCGCCTTCGTCGAGCGTCGGGTCCTCCCGCTCCAGAGCCGCCCTCATCCGATCTTCCGGATGGGCGGGCATCGCGACCCGTGCCGTTTGTGCATGAAAGAGATGCCGGCTGCCGAGGTCGCGAGGATGGTGAACGAGATCTCCGATGTCAAGGTGTCGGAGGGAGACTGGAGGTATGGGAAGCGATCATACTCTCGCGACGATTAGCCACCTGCCGTAAGTCCCTCGATTACTTCCTTTAGATTTGTCTTTTGGTCTTGCTCTTATCGTGATGCGACTCCCTCTGGAACGCAGAT